AATGCATAACCATTTAATTCATTTCGAGATTCACTCGAATAAAACAGACTGAGGTCATGAGTCCCCTGAAGGTAACGAAAAATGTGTTTGATACCATTCCAATGACACTTTGTGGGGGATGCGCTAAACCTATCCAGTAGATTTACTGAAAAAGATAAGTCCGGCTTGGTACAATTTGCAAGGTATATTAATACGCCAATAGAACTGAGATATGGTACCTCTGGACCAAGTATTTCTTCATTTTCTTCTCTTGGCCTAAATAAATCTTTATTGGAATCAAGGGATATGACTACCATTGGTGTACTCAGAGAGTGAGATTTATCCATATAAAATTGATTTAATACCTTTTGGGTATATGTGGATTGATGGATAAATATTCCGTTATTCACATAATCCACTTGTAATCCCAGACAATAAATTGTCTTTCCAAAATCTTTGATCTTAAATTCTTTCTTTAGATATTCAACTGCAATTTGGATCTCTTCAGGAGTTCTAATTAAATTGAGATCATCAACATATATCGCAATAATAACAAAATTTGATCCATTTTCTTGATAAAGACGCATGGGTATATTGGATCATTAGCATAACTTTCTTTTATTAAACATTCACTGAGACGGTTATACCACATTCGCCTTGATTGTTTAAATCCATACAATGAATTTTTCAATTTGATGGAATATGATTTCCTTGGGTTTAATTTGTATGCTTCAGGCATATTGAATCCCTCAGGAACTTTTATATAAATATCAATATTCAATGAGCCATAAATATATATAGTAACTACGTCTAAAAGACGCATATCGAGCTTTTTTTGCATTGCTAGGCTTACAAGGTATCTAAATGTTATTCCATCGACAACTGGAGTATATGTTTCATCAAATCTACTCCAGGTCTTTGTGAGAATCCTTGAGCCATGAGACGGGCTTTATATCTCACAATTTTATTATACTCATTTCTTTTTCGTACAAACACTCATTTGTATCTAATTGATTTTATACTATCTGGTGTTTGAACAGTTGGTCCAAAGACCTCCCTTTTGTTTAATGAGTCAAGCTCTGATTGAATCGCATGTTCCCATTTTGACGAGTCATTTCTTTGCCGACATTCATGAACCGATTTTGGCTCTGGATCATCGTTTCTTTCATTATATCAAGTGCTAAACTGTATGTGAAGGCATTATCAATAATTGCCTTTTTACGGTTCCAATAATTTCTTGAAGTAACATAGTTAATTGAGTTTTCAATAATCTCATCATGTTCTTCAAGATGGTACTCTTCTGAAGCAATTATTTCAGGGTTGACTTTGTCATTAGATTGAGCTTTATCAATGTCATTCCTAAAACTTTCATGATTATGATTATTAATTCATCTTTTCTTTCGAGGATGTTTGCCTTTGGAATCAAGTGGTCTACCGCGCTTCAAGCGTGTCGCTGATTCATTAGCACTTCCAATATGTCCATCAGGGACAATTATTTTAGCCGGAGTATTAACAACTTGAATATATGATCGAGTGACTTTACTCGAGTCATTAAATGAATCCGGTAAGTGATTTGCAGTATTTTGCAAATGTATAATGCGTTGAACTTCTAGTTCACACTACTTTGTACGAGGATCACAAAAATTCAATGAGATTTTCCAATTAATATCCTTTTTTGGTTCATTTTTGTCTCCCCCTAATGTCGGAAAATATGATTCATCAAAATGATAATCTAAAAATCTTGCAGTGAATAAATCACTCGTCATAGGTTCAAGATATTTTATAATTGACGGCGATTCATATCGAACATAAATGCTCAATCTACGTTAAGGACCCATTTTTGTACATTTGGGGGAGTGGAATAGGAACATAAACAACACACCCAAAAATACGTAGATGAGATATATTTGGTTTATGACCAAATACTAATTGCATTGGGGAATAGCTATGATAGATTGTCGGTCTCATTCTTATAAGTGTTCCTGCATGTAAGATTGCATGCCCCTGAGCTCAAACAGGCAACATAGACCTCATCAGTAATGGTCTAGAAATCAATTGCAATATTTTAATAATTGATTATGCCAGGTCATTTTATGTATGAACATGAGCAACTGGGTGCTCTACATTAATTTCAATTAACATGCAATAATCATCAAATGCATTCGATGTATATTCACCAGCATTATCCAGGCGTATAGTCTTAATGGAATTATCGGGGAATTGTGCCCGTAATTTAATAATTTGGGAAAGCAATCTTGCAAATGCCATATTGCGAATAGATAATAACCAGACATGTGACCATCTGGTAGATGCATCAATAAGCACCATAAAATATTTAAATGGCCTACATGGTGGGTCTATTGGTCTACATATATCTACGTGTATTCTTTAAAAAAATGTAGGTGATTCAATAACTACTTTAGCTGGCGATGGTCTGGTTATCAATTTTTCCTTAGTGCAGGCAACACAAGTTAACTCATTTGAGTTTAACACTTTATGACCTTTTAATGAATGACCATGCGAATTCTCAATTACTCGCCTCATCATTATACTGTTAGGATGCCCAAGGCAATCATGCCATATTTGAAAATCGGTAATATTTTGATCTACCGTAAGGTGTGTTTCAACAACACCTAATCTCTAATAATATAAACCAGTAGAGAGTGAGGGTAATCTCTCAATGATGGATTTTCTTTTATTAATGGTATTGGTGATCAATAAAAATTCACCATCTGTATCACTCATAGTTTCAATGTGATAACTATTTTTCCGAATGTCATGAAAGCTCAATAAATTTCTTCGAGCTTTAGTGGCCAACAGTGCATACTGTATCACAATTTTCGTCCTTGCAGGGAGAAATATAATGGCTTCTCCAGAGCCTTCAATTGATTTTACACTGCCACTTATTGTATTGATATTCATTCTTTCTCTTCTCAAATGAGAGAAATATTTTTCGTGTTTCAATATAGTATGTGTCGTTGCACTGTCAATGAAACACATATTTGCATCAATTTGATTAGCATCCATTTAACCTTCAAGTATAAATAAACGCAATATTAATAAAGGCATATATAAGTATTACAAAATGCATTACAAAAAGGTAGTATGCGATAATTTAAATATTTCAAAATATAAAATATGTAAAATGACATAATATGTCTGTCACTGGAGGTTTGCTGGATCTACGAAAAATTCCGCTATGTCAAGATGTGTTGTGTCGTAATCCAGAAGATCATCATCAGGGTCGTCATCGTTATCAACGTGATTAGTCTCGACCTCTTTCCCCTTTTTCTGCAGTGAGGCTTGATAAAGATCGGCTAGGTGTTTGGTTGTTCTGCAAGTATTGGCCCAATGGCCTTCAATGCCACACAGATTACAAATACCGATTTGTCTATTTCCCTGTTTATCCTTTTCGGCTATATCCTCATATTGGGGTTTACTCTACTTCCTGTTAATGTCAAAACCACGGTGATTGTAAGGAGTATATCGACCGCGTTGACTCTCACGACCGCGACCACGTCCTCGGCCTTGTTCAGAAAATGTCACGTTCGCTTCAAGGAACGGACTAGAATCAGTGGGCCAGGAGTGATGATTTTTCATCAGTAACTCATTATTTTGCTCAGCTAATAAAAGACATACTTTGAGCTATGAGTATTTTTGAAAATTTTTCTCATAATACTGTTGTTGCAGCACAACATTAGAAACATGGAAGGTAGATAGAGAGTCTTTTCCAATTTATCATTCTCAATAACAATTTATCCGCAGAGTTTTAACTGAGATGTAATCTGATGGATAGCAGAGTTGTACTTTGTAACAGTTTTAAAATCCTGCAATCGCAGGTTAAGCCAATCATGTCGGACTTTGGGGAGAGTGATATATTTCAAGTGCCCAAATCTCTCCCTCAATTCATTCCACAAATCAAGTGGATCTTTCACCGTTAAATATTCGGATTGTAAAGAAATATCCAGATGGTAACAAATGAAAATAATAGCCTTAGCCCGATCTTGCCTTGTAGCTGCATTTTCACTAGCAATTGTATGAACAAGGCCCATAGAAACTAGATGCATTTCTACATCCAAAGACTAAGTCAGAAAATTATTGCCGGTGAGAGACAGAGGTTTAAATGAAAATTTTGCAAAACTTTTCATAGTTTAGAAAATAGATAATATAGATAGTATAAAAATAAAACTTACCAAAAATAGAATAGGCAAGAGCCTTCGTAATGATAACGTGTTATATAATAATAATATAATATTGTTTGGTAAGTATATAAATATATATGTATATGTCTATATATATTATGTAATAATATTAATATATGTATGTATAAAAGTACATAAGAATAGAGAGATTTAGAGAATCAAAATGGATGAATTTTTATTCATATAAACCATATAGATATATATAGGTAACAAAAGGTACATATAATAGAAGGAATAATTGTGAAATTACAAAAGCAACCAACAAGACAGTCACATACTACATTGTGTATTATCTGAATAGAATATAGTAATAATTTTTGCTTACATAAATATTTATTTATTTACAATAGATATAAAAATCTAAAGTGGGGTCCATTTTTATATAAAAATATATATACACACTTCCTCTTACAAAGATTTTAAAATATTGTATTTTATATGTATGCAATATAATAAATAAATTTACGAACCATTGTACCTTTAAAATTTTAATAGTATTATATATATATATATATAAATTGACAATATTGTTGTAATAATATGTGAAATATAATAAATGTTTTAAAATGTTATATAAAACTTGTAATTACTGAATAATTGAATTTATACATATTAAAATAGCAAAATGAATTGAGTATTACAAATATTTCCGAACGCGTTATTGCTGGAAAGTCTCGAGAACCCATCGAAACAAAACCCCAGATCATTACAACGTCAAATGACACGCGTACTTATTCAATTATTTGCAAGTGAGCAATATATATATATATATATATAGAGAGAGAGAGAGAGAGAGAGAGAGAGAGAGAGAGAGTTTGAAATTCTTTCTAATATTCATCACATCAATGGGTAATCGAAGCTGATCATCGTCCTCGACGTTGTAAAGAAAGCTTCAAGCATACATATTCTTTTCCATGTAAGAATTACTACAATATTGCTGATTATAAGAGATTTCTTTCTCTAGTTATCTTTTAAATTGATTTGAAATTGATTTAAATTTTTATTTAAAGTTCATGTTTGATGTAATATTTTATAAAATTATATAATGTATTTTCTTATTGAAAATCGTAAAGGATAAATATTATTGATTTCGATTTGAAATCACAAAATAACAAAGTTTAGATCTCTTTGGAATCAACAAATATATACATTTGTTATGCAATTTTGTGCTTATAGATTCATCAAACTCATTGGAAATTGAGGGTGTATTTATTTAGTAACTTCTTTTAAAATTTAAGTAGTATGTTGAAAATAATTTTTTTTTTTTCAATAATAATATATTTTTACGTAAATGATTTGATTTGAAGTTTTTAAAAAATAAAAAATAAAAATAGTAAATCTAAATACAAAATATTACAAGTAAACACATTCAAAGATTCAATAAAAAAAAATCGAAAGTAAACAAGACTTTCATGTGCAAAGATGCAAATTTCTTGAAATAACATGGACTAGATTCTTTCAAATAAACAATAAATTTTTAAACAAAAATTCTAAATAACAAATATATTAATTATAATTAAAAAAATTATTTAGAAATTAAGACCACTCTGCAAAAATAATAATTTTGGTATTTTTGAAAGGTGGTTACTCCAACCCTGTACTTTGGAGTTGCTACACTCTCAGCAGAATTTCTCTCATTTAATTTTTTAATATAATATTAATATATTAATTTTGAATGCAAAGTTAATATATAGTGTAATATATATATACATAAAATTAAAAAAAAATTGTGACATGATTTTTTTAAATAAAAATAATTATTGAATAATAAAGTACAGACTTATAAAAAAAAAAAAAAAAAAAGCCTTAAAGTTTATTTCTTGTGTATAGAAAGCTTACGACGGCGACGGCGATGACGAAGGAAAATATTCTCCCGCGAGTCCTTCTCCTCCTCCTCACAATTCTTGTACCTTTCCGAGCAACCTTTGCCGACCCGCGGATAGCCACCGTGGCAATGATATGCGGGCCGCCGGGCGCAAACGCCACCCTTTACGTCCCCAACTTCGTCGGAAGTATGGAAAACATAACCACGAAGATCCGAACATTCGGCTACAGCACAGCCGTAACCGGCACCGGACCGACTATAAATTTTGCCTTATCGCAATGCTACCGTGATCTCTCCTCTACGGATTGCATGCTCTGCTACGCGCAGCTGCGCACCGTTTTGCCTCAGTGTTTCCCGAGCATCGGGGGAAGGCTTTTTCTCGACGGGTGCTACCTAAGGGCTGAGATCCATGAATTCTTCGGTCAATATGTTGGTCCGAGTGATCGGGCAGTTTGTGGTAATCGAACACGTAGGGGTGACTCCGGATTTAGGGTTGCGGTCCGGCAGGCTTTGTCGCGAGCAATTGTTGTGGCGGCGAGTAATGATGGGTATGCTCGGGTGGAGGAGAGGATCGCGCCGTTTCATAATGAATCGGTTTTTGTTTCGGCCGACTGCTGGAGGACGGTGAATGCGAGTTCTTGCCGGATTTGTTTGGAGAATGCGTATGCTTCGCTGTCGGGATGCTTGCCGTGGTCGGAAGGCAAGGCTGTCAATACGGGATGCTTTGTTCGATACTCGGACTTCGATTTCCTTAATCCTGTTCCCGGAAAAGGGAGTTCAAGAGGTAGAATTTTTCGAGCTTTTGTTGAAGTTATAAGGAGTGTCAAAATTGAACCTAAATTGAAAATACAAACTCATTTGATTTGAAAATTTTCGATCTGAACTCTAACAAAAAATAAAGTTGGACGAGATTGAATTTCGAATTGACTTAATAATGTTTTTTTAAAAAAAAAGTCAGATCAATGAACGACCCGAAATCCCAACTTGGCTTTATATTACAATTATAATAATTATTACTCTCTCCCTCATGTAAAAGTATGTCCATTTAACCGGGCACGAGTTTTAAAAAAAGGTAGTTAAAAATACTTTTTCCTTTTATGGTGAAGAAAAAGTATAAAATGTGGTATTTTTTTTAACTTAAAAAGAGAAACTAGAATAAGTTTGGAGGATGTGGAAAATAATAATAAATTTGAATGACAAAAAGAGTATGTTTAACTTAATTTCAAATTAAATTATATTATTAAATAAAAATATATTATGTTTTTGGGTTTGTTTCATAGTTTGTTTTCTATTGGGCTTGTTCGGGTTATTGAATGACTTAAAATAAAATCAGATCAACCTAAATCTTTTCCGAAAGAATCCGTGTTGTGTTCGTGTTTGAAGTTTTGGTTTGAAACTTGGTTTGTAAATTTTTCTTATATCTAGAGTTCAACCCAACAAAAACAATCCCAATTACATGAATCGACACCCTACTTACAACTTTGCCGAATAATTTGGCATGGATAAAAGATCGATTTTATGTTGCGCAGGAACAGTGATAATTATTACCAGCGTCCTCGTGGGTGCTGCAACTGTTTTACTCATTGGAGCAGTCATCGGACGTTATCTCTGGAAGCAACGAGTGATTCAAAAGAAACGAAAAGGTAAATTTTTCGTCATCTTGTCTTAACAACATCAACAATGTGATTGAGTCAAGTCGTCTGCATTTCTTTAGGTTCGGGTGACACTAAGAAATTAGTGAAAACACTAACAAAAAGTGGCTTAAACTTCAAATACTCGGCACTTGAGGTCGCAACCTCTAAATTTGATGAGGCCAAGAAGCTCGGACAAGGCGGATTCGGCACGGTGTATAAGGTATATCTTCGACAAACCAATAAGTTTAATTTATAAATATATATAAGGTAAAAAAATAATAATAATAATAAAACAAAACAAAACAAAAAACACTAGGTTGTATTAGAATATCAAATAATCACATTTTATTGCGTTTAAAAGTTTTGAATATATCTGATCGATGATAAGTAATATCGTCCATATTGGTCGCCACATCAGTCTCCGTGACTTAACTCTTTGAGGTTCGTTACAAAGACTAAATTTGATTAATTTAATTTTTAATTATTTTTAAATATAAAAAACAAATTTAAATGAAACCAAATACAATTACCCCCATTTTGTCAAAGAATTTGGGTAAATGTATTTTAAATGATTTAATTATAAATATATATATATATATATTTGTGATGCAATGAATTTAAAATCCAAAGTTGGTTGAAGATTTCGATTTCATCTTATTAACCTTTCAAATTCGGTGGCGGTTACCGTGTTAAATTTGAAAAAAGTTTATCATCGATCAAAAATTCCAAAAAAATACTGATTTAGAGTTCAGAAAGCACCGACTAGAAGCATAGATAGCACATGCTTAGTGAAATAAGAGCGTATGTTATATTTAAAATATGTGTTTTCTAAACTCTTGATCGAAGCTTTCTAGACTTTCGAATCAATGTTATTTTAGTAAATCATTATTGTATTATAAGTTCTATAGGAGTATGTCATGTGCACTGTATTAGTATGTCATGTCATATCCTATTAAGTCTTATATTGTATTTGTATTATATTATATTAATATAAATAATATGTTGTCTGAACTTTTGATCAATACTATTCGAAAAAATCAGCACAGTGTCGATCTAATTTCTCCAAAGTAGCACTGTAACAACACCCTTCAAGTTCTCTCATTTAAAATGCTTCCTGAACCTAAAAATGAATTTTAATTAAAAAGAATTTCAAATCTCAAATAACTAAAACTCAAATATAAACGATCTAACCAAATAGGGGCTAATATTAATCACTAAATTGGGATGCCGCAGGGAGTTTTGGCGGACGGACGAGAGATAGCCGTGAAGAGGCTATTCTTCAACAACAAACATAGGATTGTAGATTTCTACAATGAAGTTAAAATCGTTAGCAGTGTCGAGCACAAAAATCTCCTACGTCTCCTCGGCTGCAGCTGTTCAGGACCCGAAAGCTTATTGGTTTACGAGTTTTTGCCCAACAAAAGCCTTGACTACTTTATTTTTGGTACTTCTCCAATTTAAGTAAATATTATATTTATTATTATTATTTTTTTCTTTTTCATTTGCATTATTTTTCTCAATCTTCTTAGAGTGTGTTGGTTTCAAAATTTTTCTTCAATTCCTACTATTCATTAAATTTTTTGCCCCAAAAATATCGAATCAAATATTTATTTTTTATATTAATTATACTAAAATTTACATTCAACATATTGCATCAAAACCTATTTATATCACATTATATAACTATTCTAATTCAAACTTCTTACAATTGAAATTTCAATTCAAGAGATTCACTTGTAATCATATTTATATATATTTAAAATTTTCGATTCTAAAAACTAATTTGTATTTCCTCCTTCCCTTAAATTATTTTACTATTATTTTTTTTGTTGCCTATATTATGAAAAAATCAGTTACAATAAATAATTTTACTCACTTATAATATTATTATTCTTAGTTTAATTAATAAATAGTAACCATTTTATTATTACTTTTTTAGTTACTCTATTATTTTTTATGAATAATTTGATAAATTTATTATAATATTCTTACTTTACTTCCATTCTTGTTTCACTCTAACATTAAAATATTGTTATATTTCTATTAAATATATGTAATTTTATTAGAGTATAATTTTTAAAATCCTTTAACCACATTTTAAATTTAATATATATTACATAATCATCCAATCTACAAATAACAGTAAAATTAAACTTTCAACTGGACTCTAACTATGTAAGTATTCATTTTGACTCCAGATGCTACCAAAGGGAAGGAACTGAATTGGGAAAAAAGATTTGAAATAATAATAGGGACAACAGAAGGACTGATCTACCTCCACGAGAATACGAGAGCTCGAATCATTCACCGCGATATAAAGGCAAGTAATATTCTCTTGGACTCAAGATTCCAGCCAAAAATTGCTGATTTCGGGCTCGCGAGGTCGTTCCAAGACGATAAAAGTCATATAAGCACCGCCATCGCAGGAACATTGTAAGTACACAAATCCACCTTAAGAAAATCCGAACAATAAATTTATAGACAAGGTTAGTACTGATCAAAACTTTTGCGTGAGGTTATTAATTAATATTCATGACATCTTATGTTGTTGGTCTGAAGAGGATACATGGCACCCGAATACTTTACCCACGGGCAGTTGACAGAGAAAGCCGACGTGTATAGCTTCGGGGTTCTTGTTCTGGAAATCATTTCTGGGAGAAAGAATAACCAAAGCGATCACGAAGAGCATAGAGACACTTTGATAACCATTGTATGAACCTAAAAAGAGTTCTTGTAAATTAATCATTTCATCATACAAAAAATTAAATTAAATCTTACCTGTCATTCAACATGAATCAGGTGTGGAAGCATTTCCAGCTAAGGACAGTTGAGGAAATCATCGACCCAAACTTGATCGCGAATAACTACCAAAGGAACAACAACATTAAAGATGAGATTGTACGAGCCGTTCATGTGGGGTTGTTGTGCACACAAGAAGTCTCTTCGCGGCGGCCATCCATGTCGAGGGTGCTACAAATGCTCGTGAATAAAGAAGAAGATCTTCCGGTGCCGTCAAATCCCCCATTTTTGAATGAAAATACAATGGAGCTTCATGGTGTGGCTGAGAATAATGGATCGTCGGATGTTGCTTGGATTGCAAGCATTTCGGGGAGTACATTCTCTCCCAGATGAGATCGATTAAGTTGGGATGTGTCGGAAGTCGTAGAAAGTTCTGCATTATGGAATGTTCCATACAGACAATGGAAGATTTGCATTGCAGAATTTGATCGCGTATTAAATTTTGATAACTTCAAGTAGCGAATATTTGTACCTTAAAATTTTATGGTACTTAGCTTACAAAGTTAAGAATACAGTAGAATGCTAGAATACACACAAAATGTGTATATAGGCGGAAATGTAAATAAGGATTTCAAATCTTCAGCCATTGCAACATTAAAACCGTGATGTGGGAAAAAAGAAAGAATTGCAGTTGCAGCTATGGCGACGGTGTGTGTCTTCCTTTATTTATTTATCAAATTCTTGCTCAATTGAACTCAATCGTGTAGTTTTCAAAATATAGTGTAAGCTTAGTAACTTGTTTGATTTTGACACTTACAATGAATATGCTCATCACAAATTTTAGTTAACAACTTCGAACCTTTTTTCCCCCAAAAGTGGATCCCAAGAGGTCGAGATGTACATGAGAGTTAGTTTGAGACCAAGTAGTCATCAAATTATTGTTGTCAAATGGATCTATAAGGCAAATAAGAATGACAAAAGATAGGTCGAGATGTACAAAGACCATTGGAAGTGATAAAAAAAACATAGAATTGACTATGAAGAGGTATTTGGCCTCAATTTCTCGATCGAAGATAATTCAGTTACTAATCTCACTTTTGGCACAAAATCAATGAAAGATGCACCAATCGAATGCCAACTCCGCTTTTCTGGGTATCTTATGGAAAGCGTGTTCATTTAAGGTCATAAAGATGAAGTCTAAAAATTGAACAAGATACTCTATGTGCTCAATCTAGCTCCTAGAGCATGAAATAGTTGTCTATTTTCAAGATGGTGGATTCTCAATATGCTAAAGTGTCTATGCGCTCTATGGAAAGGAGGAAAATAAACATGCATTGTTTGTTCGTGTTTATGTGGATGATCTCACTTTTATCGAAAAAAATTGAAGGATGGTTGAAGAATTGAAAAAGTCATGGCTTAAGAATTTGAAAGAAGTGATATGTGACTAATTTCATATTACTAAAGAATTAAGTTCAAATACAAGAAGGGATCTTCATCTCCCAAAAACTCTTTGCAAAAGAAGTATTAAAGAAAGTTTGGGTGTGCTTCTTTGACTCTGGTTTACTGCGCGATGAAATTAAGGCCCCAAACCCATTATAGAGACAAATACTGACACACCTACTCTACCTTGACAATTTAGGTTTGAACCCTTTCACCTTCTTCCTGTCATGGAAAATCTTGTACCTTCACTCTTCTTTTTGTACCGATGAATTCGTGCCACGGAACGCGGCTTCGAAGGCAGCGGCTGAAGGCCTTTTCTTGGGGCCATGCGGCAGGACTTAGGAGAAGAAGAAGAAAGGAGTATAGAGGAGGAAGAAGAACAGAAGAATGGAGAAGAGGAAGAAAAACGAGGAAAAAGAAAAAGAAAGAGGAAGAAGGGAAAACAAGAGGAAGAAGACAACAACGACCGGAAGGTGTGGCGGCGGCTCTAGAAGGGTTTTAGGTTCAAAATGGTTTCTCATTTTTTATGTTTTTTTTAATATATTTATAATTAAAAATAATATATTAAAAATAAAAATAATATTATTACCTAGTAAATTAGTATCCATGAAAACCTCTTAAACCCAAACAAAATCGAGGCCAAGGAACAACTTCTCAAATTACGAAAAAAAATCAAATTCAAATCTTCTCAAACTAATTCCACAGAAACACAATCTTAATATGCTTAAAGCAAACACATGAGCACGTCTACGAAGTGGGAGCAAAGTTATCCAAAACAAGAAGAATGAAAAATGATTTGATTCCACATGTTCAAAAGTATTGTTGGAAGTTTAAAGAGCTTTTAATTTAATTTATTTTATTTAAAAAAAAAAAAAAAGACTATATAGCAACACGGCTGCACCAAAATGGGTTGCCTACGTACCTAAATTTAAAGAGCTTAACTTGCAATAGACTCGACATTTGGTTTATGGTAGAAATTGTAAGTTGTTATATGGAAATTTATAGCAAAACACATTGGATGGCGGCGACGAAATTTTTTTGATATATCAAGTTATTTTTTGTTTTGGCTGGTTCTATTTACTTTTCAATACTTCCAAATTGATGGGATATTTTGATAGTTATTATGGTGGATTTCTCGATGCTAGAAAATTTTGGGTATACGAAGAGATGAAAAAAAAGAAGAAAATGTGGAACGTTGTATCCCACTTTGGAAACGCAAAAGAAATAACCCACCATATAAGTCAAATCAATTTATTGCAGCATGATGGAAAAATTGTAGTGGTTGGTTATTGATTAATGAATTAAATAATTTGTTCCTCTTTTATTTTAAAAGAACAATGCAAAAACCCAACAAATAAAAAGGCTCTCGGATAAATTATTTTCACATAAATTACATCATTTCTTCTCTAAACAATACGTCGTTTTTACTAATAAATTATTTCTTCCCATATCTAAAAAATTCCTCTAAACTATCTACTTCCGAGTTTGATTCATGGAATCTGATATTCCGTCCGTTCGTTGCATCCTCAAAGCAATCGGCGATGGGCCAAATTTTCTTTATAGAGATCACATGCAACAAGAAATTTGAATTCTGACTTTAGATCTCTATGATTAGATTTAGAATTTTCTATTCGGATTTCCATCTCAATTACTAACAATTTTGAAGCAAATTCGTTCCACAGTGAAAATTTAAGATGACTGACGAAATTTCCCAAATTCATGATCAAATTGTGGCTGCCCAAATTGTGCTTGATGATAAAGAAATGATCGACGCAACGCTCGATGAAAGCAACAAGAATTTGAATGATGATGTTCAGATTGGTGCAGATGAAGATGAGAATAAGGAGGTGAATTCCAACTAGTCTTATATTGCCTCTTCCTTTGTTCCATGATCTTAGCCACCTCGCACTACCAGTGAGGCTGCTGTTAGGCGTAAGGTGCGTGAGGCAGCCATGAGGGCTACTGGGAAAAGGCTTTGAAAATAGCGTATAAAAAGATCCTCAAGGCTACGATGGAGGAGGCATAGTCTATTGCTGCGATCTCCAAACAGCCTATTGCTAGACTACAAAAATAGCATCCTGTTGATGCCCATATAAGACAGCCTATTGTTGTTTTTCCTTGATTGCAGGGCTTACGCAGGGTCTTGGTGCATCCATCATACACTAGATGACTTGGAGTGTTTAGAGCTGGTTGCTATTGCAAACCACTTGATGCAGCCTGTTGTTGTCACTTTCAGATAGCTTATTACGATGTCGGCTGAGAAGTCAAAAGAATTCAATAAGCAGAACTTTTAAATATGGCAATAGCAGGTGTTTTATCTAACCACGCCAAATATGGCGGACTGGCTGATGGAGAATGCACCTGTTGTGCCTAAAGGATCCTCGGAAGAACAGAAAACATAAATTCTAAAAGCCTAAAAATTCCTAGATTTTATATGAAAAAATTATGTACTGAACACGACTTGAGCAATTCTCTATACGGCCTCTACCGGCGTGCCCTAACAGCTAAGAAGTTATATGAGACATTAAAGAAAAAGTACATAACCAAATATGCTAGTGCAAAGAGGTTTATCACTGGATGGTTTTCTGTATTTCAAGATAATGGATGAAAATAGTTTACGAAGCATCTTGACAAATTTTAACTTATTCTACATGAAGTTCAAGCCGAGGGTATGAATTTGAGTGAAGTCTTCCAAGCACCGACAATAATTGAAAATTTACGGCTTAATTAGGGGGATTTCAAGATTTACTTGAAACATAAACGAAAAGAAATGGACATGGAGAGACTGATCAATTGTCTCCAAATTGAATAAAAGCATAGATCGAATCTAGCGAGTAAGAAACATCTGATGCACAGAAGTAAGGCCAATATAATCAAACACAAAGGCCAAAGCTCTCTTTTAAAAAATGCTTCCAAAAATAATGAGTAGCCTGAAAAGTACTCGAAGCCTGCGGATAAGGGCAAGGAGAAGGTGAAGTCATGTTGCGGTGTTGATAAATCAAAGGAAAAATCAACAAGTATCTTCAAGGGAAATTTTTTCAATTGCAGGAAGCTGTGACATCGTTCGATAGACTGCAAGGTGCCGAAAAGGAAGAAAGGGGTGAACCAGGGAAAAATCGTTACTAAATAAGAAGAGGCACTTGACCTTACATGTGTTGTCTCTAAGACAAACTTGGTAGGATCGAACAAGAAACAATAGTGGCTCGACACGGGAGCAACACACCATATCTGCATAGTTAGAAATCAGTTCTCCTCGTTCGAGCCTATCAAAGAAGAAACGTTGTACATGAGAAATGCAACTCCTGCTAAAGTCAGAGAGAGAAGGTGCTTCTGAAGATGACGTCTTGAAGAGTTGTGATGCTGACCAACGTACTGTATGTGCCCGCGATGACAAAAAACTTGGTCTCAGGGACGCCCGTGATGAATATGGCTTTAATATTAATATGAATGAAGAAAAATTTATTTTGTGTAAATCAAAAGTGTTTGTAGGGTAAGAGATATGTAGAGGATGAATAGGGATGAATTATTAAAATATTGTATTATGACAGTGGTTGAATATAATAATAATATGTCTGTTTCTTATGTTGTCGAGTCCTCAATTTTATGACATAGTTGATTGGATCATGTTATTTATGATTCAATACTTCGATTATTAAACCTTAACCACATTCCATCATTTGAATTGAAATAAACATATATGTGAAATTTGTGTTGAATTAAAACAAACTCGATCACCGTTCTAAATGATTAAACGTGAAATCGAAACACTCAAATTGATTCATACTGATGTATATGATTTAAAAAATTATACAAACACGTGGTGGTAATAAATATTATATTACATTCATTAACGATTGTACAATTTTTATTATGTGTATTTACTTAAAAGCAAAGATGAGACACTAATTAAATTTATTTTGTACAAAAACAAAGTAGAATATCAACTTAGAAAATGAATTAAACGAATCATAGATAGAGGTGGAGAATACGAAAGTTTGATTGGTGAATTTTGTACAAAAATAGAATAATTCATGAAATAATTTCACCTTACTTACCTTAATCAATCGGCGTTGCTGAATGCAAGAATCGCACAATAAAAGAAATCATAAATACGATTTTTTAAAGTTATGAACTACCCCAAAACATGTGGGGGAAGCTATTCTAAGCACTAATTATTTTCTTAATCCAATTCCTCAGAAAAAGATGGAAAAACTCTTTATGAGCTATCGAAATGTTGAAAACCATCTTACAAATACCTTTGAGTGTTAGGATGTCTTGTGTAAGTTGTTGTGCCACCTCCCAAACGAGTGAGATCAATCTTAAAATAGTATACTGCATTTTCATAGGATATGTACATAATAATATTGCTTATCATTTTTTGGTATTCGATTCAGAAATTCTAGATATCCCAAATAATACGATAATGGAATCAAATAATGCATCATTCTTTGAAAAGATATTCCAGTAAAGGTAGGCATTGAATCTAGTTTGGCAAACCAAGAACACAAAACAATAGATCAAGATCCAATGAAAAAAGATGAATCTAAATCTGAACCAGCTCAGAAACCTGATCTTAGAATAAGCAAGCGAACAAAAGTTGAAAAGTCATTTGGAGATGACTATTTACATATCTCCTTAAAAACAAGCCTCAAATATGTTGAGACTATGAGATCTTTTAAAGAGCCTCTTTGGAAAAAATGACGTGAAAATAATGAAATTGATTATATTCTTCTGAATCACACTTCAATCGAAACCTCTTCGATCAAAGTGGATCTTCAAGAGGAAATTAAAATCGGATGGCACGATAGATATGTACAAGGCCAGACTTATAATCACAGGCAGCAAGAAAGGACATATATAACTTTAATATATATTCTCATGTCACGAGAATAACATCCTTAACTTGAAATTAGTGATAGCCGATATGTGGAATCTTAAAAATACATCAAATGAATGTAAAAATGGCTTTCTTGAATGAAAACATTGATGAAGAAATCTACATGGAACAATCAAAAGGCTTCACAATTCTAAGAAATGATAAGAAATTTTGTAGGCTTGTGAAATCAGTATACAAACTTATACAAGTTCCAAATAAATAACATGAAAATTTCAATTATACCATGATGAACAATGGTTTCAAAATCAATGAATGAGATAAATGTATATATGTAAAGACAACTTAGTTAGGTTATATAATTATATGCGTTTATGTAGACAATATACTTATCTTAGGTAACAACAACAAAATCGTTAAGTCTACCAAAAATAAGTTAAATTCTAAATTTGACAGAAAGACATGGGTCTCACTAATGTGATATTAGGATTTAAGATCAATAGAACAAAAATGGTCTAATTTTTAGTCAAACTTACTATGTAGACAAAATACTTGAAAAAATTATCAATGATATAGGAATAGCAAGAACCTCTCTCAATAAAAGTATTTATCTATTCAAGAACCATAAAGAAGACGTGTCTCAAATTGAGTACGCTTGGATA